GGGGGGGGGTCCGATTCCTATATAATGTCCCTTTATTCTTACTATAACATGCCAACATGTATTAGCTCACCTCCTGAACCTCAGCAACTTTAATTTTTAATCTACAAAGAAAGCAAACACTTTGGTTCTATATGTCACCAAGTCTTGAGGAGTTCTTACTTCCTGATCATCTCCTCCAATCTCCTTGCACAAAGGCCTGACAGGTTTTAAAAGCCTTTTTCAATTGCTGAATATTTTTCATTGGGCTGTACTAACATTTAGTAAATGCTGCTATTTAGAAAGATAATCTGTGGAATAATTTATAAATGAAGTTTTGGAAGAGCTATAGCTTTAAGATCCATGAATGATGCAGCACTGTTAGTAGAGCTTGGTTGTCTATGCTAAGTCTGTATCGGCCAGCACTGATCATTAGGAACACTGCAGTTTGCTGAGCCATGCACAACCTCCAAGTATTGACATCGCTCTGTATACAATATTGAAAGAATCACATAGGTTAATACCCTCAATGACCTTGGAAGAAAGGAAATTATTTAGTATTGAGTACTATCAAACTAACAGTTCATACAAGCATTCAAAATTCAAATTCTCACTTAAATGTTCTAGATCTTTGTATTTGCAAGAATTTCTGTTGATCATTTTCTCTGAAATACATCTTTATTTCATTTTGTCTCTTAATAAGTGAGCACTGGGATCTAGAGGGGGTGGCTCTGGAGTCATGAGCACTCGCAAAGGACTCAAATTGGGAAGTAAATGAGTGTGTGGTGTATGCATCAGAGTTTATGTATATAAATCCACTTTCGTATAACCCTAGTTGCAGTTCCAGTGACCATTTCTTTCCTCTGCAAGCTCCAGGCAAGCATGAAGTACACAAATATACATTTGGACAAAACTTTTATACATGAAATAAAATTAAATAAATCCTAAAAGTGGGCTGCATCCTTGAAGTCAGCACAGGGAGTTTAGTTTGAATGACAGAAAGAGAGCTGGGGAGATCCTTAGTGTCTCGGAGCAGCTGCTATGCAAGCATCACACAAGAGTTTGGGTCCTAGAACCCAGATAAAAGCTTCCCATACATGTACGTAACCCCAACAGGGAGGAGAATAAAGACACAGAAGATTATCAAAGCTTGGTGACTGCAACCTGGCCACAAAATGCAAGTTCAAGTTTCAGCAAGAACCTCTGTGCATTTATCCCTATCCATACCAGTGCATACACAATACACTAACTCACAAACATACATACTACATCAACACAGAAATGATCAAAAGAAAGTAAAAAAAAAGCCAGTTCTGCTTATAATGCAAATAATGTCTGTTTTCTCAATGTACTCTGAAATGCACATATCCCACTGTATAGCACAGAATTTTAAAAGGGCATACATGCATACATATGAATGAATATTTAATAAATTAATATTAGTCAAAAATTCTCAAATTCCTTATTCCAGTGTACTGAAAGAAAAGTATACAATGACTATCACTAGGGTTTGGTGCCAATATAGTCATATCAGGAGTCACCTGTTTTACAAACCATTGTTTGGAATCATCAGTTCTAGATACCAACACACAAAGGTTGGTATGAAGTTGTTATGAATATAGCTTTGATATTTAAGACTTCATGATAGAAGATCAAGAGTTCTCAGGACATCTCCAGTCAAATGAAGAAAACCATGGGTTATCTTAGAGCTAACCCATGGGACTAAACTCAATGTAGCTCTACTTAAATAACAAAGAAATACTCACCTACAAACTGACTTAAGTCCAAATCTAGTCTTTTTCTGTATGTGAAGTCAGGGTCCATTCCATCTCTATGCAATACAATCTGTGACACACACTCATCAATTAATTTGAAGTATTGCTGTCTAAAACCAAAGGGAGCAAATATATACTCAATAAATACACTCAATAAAAGAGCAGAATATTACATCAAAAGAATATACTTGATGTAAGTCTGACTTCAAATTTAAAATTATACTCAGCATAATGCAAGTGGTGGTATAACACAGCATGGGAAACTCATCTATCTGATAACATGATGACATATTTTAATGACATGTCAGGAAGTACACTGTAAACTGAGGGTAATTTTCTTATAAACATCAGACATTTATTTCATTGATTTTCATTAAAAAGGGATACTATCAAGAAGTAAGAGGTACTTGAAGGTACTAAGGGTGCTCAGAGCACAGCTACTGAATGGCTACCAGGAATTCATCTTATTAGTATAAGCCTATCAAATGTCTTCTCTAAGAATTTCTACTGGAGCTTCTTTTTGTTTGTTTGTTTGTTTGTTTGTTTTTTGTTTTGTTTTTTAGTTTTTTCGAGACAGGGTTTCTCTGTGTAGCCTGGCTGTCCTGGAACTCACTCTGTAGACCAGGCTAGCCTCGAACTCTCAAACTTAGAAATCCACCTGCCTCTGCCTCCCAAATGCTGGGATTAAAGGCGTGCGCCACAACCACCCGGCCTGGAGCTTCTTAATATCATGTTGTAGAAAGAAATTCAGAATTGATAACTCTAAAGGATATGAAACCAAATTAATATATCTTAGTCAAGGAAGACTGGAAAATTTAATATAATATCAATGTACAAAGATCAAAGTTTAGGTAAAAGCTTATGGATGTGCTATTGATATAATTCAATCCATTTGGGAATCAGAGGAAGAGACTCAAAGCCAAACAATAGACAGAGCAGGAGAATGTACTGGAAGAGGGGGCTGTAGGGGGTGGGGGGAAGAGTAGAGATTGAAGGATCTGGAGGGGTCAAGAATACCACAAGAAGACCTACAGGTTCAACTAACCTAGGCCCATGGGAGCTCACAGAGACTGGGCCACCAACCAAATAGCATACAGGGGCTGGACCTAAGCCCCCTGAACAGATATACCAGATGTGCAGCTCATTCCTCATGTAGATCCCCTAACAGTTAGAGTGGGGGCACTCTCAGACTCTGTTCTTTGTCTTTGGACCCACTTAACACATCTGTACTGCTTTATATGGTCTCAGTGGGATAGGATGCCCTTAGTCATGCTGTCGCAATGTACCAGTGTAGGTTGGTAACCATGGGCGACCTTTCCATCTCTGAGAAAAAAAGGGATGGAGGAATCAGGGAGGGCGTGTGAGGAGAGGAAAGAGAGAGGCCATGATCAAGCTGCAATGTGAATAAATGAATTAATGAAGAATAAAGCAATTCAATCTATCTGCATTTCTAACTATAGTAATATCTCCTTAACTTCAGGCAATGTGAAGAAAATACAAAAAAATAAAAATAAATAATAACTTTTATGTGCAAAGGCAATTCAAGCAGCAGGGTGGTTTATAATAAGGAACCCTACATCCCCCATCACTTGTGAATTGATTTCCTTTCTCAGTGATTTATAAGCAGCTTTTTATTTTTCTCCAAACCATATTCTTCATATGTGATGGCCCTTCTGGCCATTTCAGCTTTCTTCCCAATGAACCATGTATTAGTACTACTATCTGTGTACTAAAACCTTACACCTAATGAACCATTTATAATGCTGAATAAAATTGCTTCAGCTGAACACAATACCAATAACTCTGAATTCATGGGGGCTCAAGCATCATTTACCCACCAGAGGTTGACATAACTAGCCATGTGATGATCAAAAAACTGCATGAAAGTTCTTTATACAGATGTTTCATGCCATTTTCACATAAATTTAGAGTAGAAATACAACATTTATTAACAGGCTACCCTATTATTTTTAATTTTATTAGTTAGTGCATTCAGGCAGCACTTACTGCTGCTTAAATATTTAGTCTCCTTTTTTTTAAACAAAGTTCCAAAAAATGGCACGTTAAACAACAAAACAAGTTGCAGGTCAAGTTGAGAATATTTGGAGGAATTACAATTTCAATAAAAACTTGAAGCGTGAAGTACACCAACTATAAAGAATGTAAAGTTTCATTTCGATTTTTCTTCTAGGTTGTAAGGTGTAGCCAATAACATTGAGTTAAACCCTCTGATATCACCCATGAGTATGCAACCTAAATAAGGTTGTCCTATAAATCCTATATGAACTACCTATGAGAAGACTAACTATCCCCCATAATCTACAAATGAAATTTCTACAAAGCTAGATTGGTAACATAATGATTTTATACTTAAAGACTTAACTGTGGAAATTCTTAACGGATAAAAGTAGAAACTGATATGAAGACCATTTACTGGGCATAAGCTGTATATAAAGAATTCAACTCCAACATTCCTCACATAACATATTTAATCATTATAGTACAGTCTTTTGGGTACTTACTCATGTCTACACAGAACCACATTATGTTCTATGTGAAGTAAACAAAGAACAATTTGCCAAACTCAGACAGCCAAGATAAAATCAAGGTTGAAAAGGTGTTTATATAATTTCAGTGATAGATTAAAAACATTAAACATGCAAATATTAATAACAATTTAATTGTTATTAATCAAACAATTTAAACGGTACTAAAAACAATTGTTAATACTCTATGACTTATAAAATCCAATCTACCAATAGCATTCCTGGTGATTAAGAAACAACCACAAAATATTACACATGATAATAAATTAATAAGCTGTCAGTGGTTCCAACTTTTTCATTTACTATAGATTGTAATTACATAATTCCTCCCCTTTCCTCTGTCCAAACTCTCAGATATAGCCCCTTTCTCTCTAAAATACATAGCCTTTCTTTAATTGATTTCATATGAATGTAAGTATAAATATATGTGTACACACAGACACACATAGAGACAGACATATATACAGACCCATAAGCAGACTTCTAAATATAACCTGACCAGTCTGCATGCTACCCACATGTAACCCAGTGAATCTACAAAACACTCCCACACCTAAGGTTCAAGGATCATTGTGGAAGATGAGGCTGGATGAGTGGAAGAGCCAGTGGATCAGGGAGATTGCTGGGAGACTGTGTGTCTTAGGAACATCAGAATTTATACCCATCTCACCAACATGACTGCCACAATGTGACCAAGAAAGAACAATAAACATGGCTTCAACTTTCATCCACAAAAGAGGATACAACTGTGAAATTTCTGGAATTTAAAAAGGCAACAGTAACTGCACTGTAGTCACAGCTAAGTAAATTCATGCCTGAAAGAAACAACGTAGTCTGTAGACCACTATCATGCAAAAAAAGAAAAATAATTTGCTTATGTGAATAATGTATTAGTTGAACATCACAAATACTAGTTTTATCAGTTAAACATTAGAATATAGCTTCCCCTTACCTTATAAAACGGTCATTTCGAATGAGCAGAAGATGCTGAAGAATAGAAACAAAATGTCTCTCTGCTCTAGTTTCCTTAACTGTGTCCCATACCATACTGTACACATCAGATGCTTCAGTGAGCTGATTAAGGACCATACGAATGTATTCAAACCCTACACCAAACAGCTAATATAACACAATGTATGCTTTAGGAAGGCTTGGAAGACTTGTGTGCAAACAACTGTCTAGTAACGATTGTTTTTAAAGAGCTTTCTAGGAATTAAGTGTAGAGAACCCAGAGATGGCAAGTTGACATGAAACTTTCACCCTTCACAATCAACTGTGCTAGAAAATACAGTGGGCACACAGTCAATAGCTTGTTGGAAACACCCACTAAGTTCTAAGGATGTCCTGAGCAACAAAGCAAGTGCATCAGTGAGTAGCCATATTACAAAATAGGATTCTGGTGTGTCTCATAAACAGCCCTGACAGTTGCACACCCATCAACTTCCATGAGCCCTCCAAGGTATTGCATCCATTGTAGAGAAAGGAGCGTTCAATAGGTGGAGGTTATCTCAAATCCAATACTACAAAGAAAATAGGCAACAACCATATGGACAACAGATCGTTCACATAATGTAACAATCCAGTCTAAGGGCAGCCTTCCTTTCCACAAATACACAGACAAAACAACAAACTTAAGCTACTAAATGTGAGACTTTTATACTACATACACATTTGATTTCATGTTTCTATAGACAAACTTAAATGTTTCGTGGGGTAAAGTTCATTACTATGGATGAAAGAGTCAATTTACATCTCTTCTGACTGGGACTCAGTGCAAAAGGATATTCAAGTTCAGCTCTAATGTCTTCAAGGCGATGGGAGAACTCACTCAAATCTTCTTCTTTGTGCTCATCAAATACTTTAAGTTGTATATCCAGGCCATCATTCTTAATCCCCTTTAAGTTCTATAGAAATTAGATAAAAATTATGATGGATTATGCTTTCAGTATGGGTAAATTGTCAATAACATAAACAATAAACCAGTCATTCAAGCCTGACTTGCAGAATTCAAACACTTAAAGTGTTAATACTTAAATCTTACCATCTATATTTCAAAACTAGATTTTTATACTCAAGTCTTTTCCCGCAGATAAATTATTCTTGAGAGTAATTTATCTAAATTTCCCTCACTCAAGTACACTTCTAATTTAAATATTAATGAGGAGACTGCAGGGCACTTACTGGCAATATCTCTTTCAATCCACAACGCATAAATTCATTTCTGAGGTGAAGCCTGAAGTCCAAATCATCAGGAGATGTAACAAGGGCATTGATGAGCTGCATACACGCTACCTACAACAGATTACACGGGAGACACAGCAAGCGTTTACAGCATTGAAAACAAAAGGAGCAAAAGGAAGGAAATCAAGCTTCAGTCCAACAATTATCAAATATCTCTCACAGGAAAGTCTAATTAGATAGATAGATAGATAGATAGATAGATAGATAGATAGATAGATAGATAGATAGATAGATAGATAAATTATATACATAAATATGCATACACATATAAGATAAAAACTTATAGTTTCAAATAAATTCTCATTGATTTGCAGGATGATATCCAGAAAACCATTTTCTTTTCACAGAAACTTCATGTATAACTGAAATTCTTGCCTAATACTATTCTAAATACATACAATACAAATAGAAAATATAGTAAATAAAAGTTGTAAGCATGTGAATAAGAAGAAAAATGGAATAGTACAATAATTTTCCATTCCTCTAAAGAAGCCAAATTCCCAAAATCCTCAAGTTCAACAAGATCCTAAATATGGCTGATAAGGCTACTATAAAAATAAATAAAATAAACTGGGTATACGGTGGGGAACACCTTTAATCTGAAAACCCTGAAGGCAGAAGCAAGGGGAACTCTGTCAATTCTAGGCCAGAGTGGTCTACAAAGCAACTTCCAGGACAGCCAGGGCTATTACACAGAGAAACAAACAAATAAACAAACAAAAACAAATAAACAAACAAATGATGGGTAGGTGGGTAGATAGGTAGGTAGGTGGGTGGGTGGGTGGGTGGGTGGGAGGATGGATAGATGGATAGATATATAGATAGATGCATAGATACATAGGTATATAGATAATAGATAGGAATAATTAAATAAGGTGAAAAAAAAAAACTAACTGGCATTGCCTAAGTAAGGATTGTCAGGTAATCACTCTTATACTTTGAAAATTCAAACTGAATGCACATTGTATTTACGAACAATGTAAATTATATGGTTACCACACTCTTGTTATAGAGGAAAAGTAATCATTTTTTTTCACTGTTAAGTAAAGCATTTATACTTTTATATTCTTGACTTTTTAATCCCAGTATAAAAGACACCTTTTTCCATCATCACAAATTCATATTTTAAAAGGAAAAAAACGCTTTTCTTTAGGGAAGCAATGTATTTTTGATGTTGTGGGTAGTGTTACACTAGCATATCTAAATTCTACCTCAAATCCAGCAAGAACTACTTGACTACCTATCAACAGCAGACAGACAGACAGACAGACAGACAAAGAGACAGAGACAGAGACAGAGTGAGAGAGAGGGAGAGGGAACAAAACAGAAAAGCTTTACTATACTAATCCCATGTATAAACATACTTATATAGCTTTAATGATTCTTTTTCTCATCTAGGCTGACAATGATTGCTCCAAGAGGCAAAGACTCCCTTAAAAAACTACAATAGCAGACATGAGAAGACCTCTTTTGAGTAGGCCAGAACTGTCAAGGAACTCCTAAAACATGCAGCCTACTGATATTGCCCTTGGTTGCCCCCTACAAGTGCTGAAGACACCATGCAGTTGAGAAGCAGGTCCCAGAGACGCCTGAGATGGAACTGACTTGAACATCCCCTCCCTGAGGACTAGGCACCATACAAACTTCCAAAGGACAGAGGCAGCCAGCAATTCCACGCAGCTATGCTTCCTATAAACCATATAAATGACGTAAATGGTACTGGAACCCGAATTGTGCAGTAGTGGCATGCAACTGTTGATGACAACAAGCGGATCTCTAATTGGAATTAAGACGTACTCAATAAGATGGAAACCATGCCTGTTACCAAAAAGCTATCCAAATAGTCAGTGCTAGTGAAGTAACAGCCATTGGAGAAGAATCTAGAGCCACTAGTTTACTAAAGCAAACTAATCCCTAACAACAATCTAAACATCAGTCCTTATGTCTACAGGTAAATGTCATCTTCACCCTTCATCAGGTAAAATTCTCTTTGCAACAGATGGAGACCACTACCATAAACACACACAAAAATTCACAACTACTAAAAATAAAAAGTTGTAGAGCCCAGCACCAACGGATATACCTAAAACTCACTCTCATACCTAAGGCACAGGAAATGAAGCAGAAAAAGGGACGATGGAACAACTGTAAGAGCCAGGAGCTCAGGGAGCTTCTTCTGAGAGCACCTCAGAATGTCCCAAGCTAATGTCTCACCAATAAGAATGTCCAAATGTGAGCAATAGAGGACAGTAATAATGGAGATGCCAAAATAAATAGTAAAAAGCTGACTAGGACACAACACAGTTCAAAGAACCATAGGCAAGAAAGGAAAGCTTGGAGAACAGGAAGTGGCCTTCCCGACAGAAAAACACATGAATTAATTGGTTGTCCAGTACCAAATTGTCAGCCCTGAAAACATACACACGAGCAACATTATACAAACTGAACAGATTATAATTAAAAACACAATTATATATACATATATTCATGGAATAAAAATTAGTAAAAAAAAAAAAGAGGTTACAAATTTGAAAGAGAGCAAAGACTGGTATATGAGGGAGTAAGAAGGAACGAGGGAATATGTTATAATTATAATCACGAAAATAAAAGAGAAAAGGAAGAGTTTCTCTGTGGAGAAGTATCCTTTGTTGTTGATAATGTTATTTTTCCACGTCTACATTCTACCCCAGGTCTAGCAACAACGACTGGACTACTGATCAATATGTCTGACCTCACGCTGTTCCCTAAATTGTCTTTTCTCCATCCCTTAAGGCAAGGTTTATGTGAATTTAAAATGCTGGTTTTGGATTAAGACACCAACAGGGGTCTCAGTTCCTGCTGGTTGAAAAACATAGTAGTAACTTTTATATTTGATATCTAAACACTAAAATCTGACCAGCATGGTTCGACTGTCAAAACTTAATTTTTTTTAAAGTGGAGATGGGAAATATAGCAGAAAAGTAGAAAAATGAGAAAAAACACAGTCTTAAAAAAAAAACATTAAACAGTCAACCTTTTCAGTACATATTCACTCAGCTGTGACCAGTTCATGTCAAAAAGTCAAGTTTAAATGTTTTTTTTTCTACTCCCTTGCCTTTCCATACTTGGTACATACACTTTCCTTCTAAGAAATGGAATGTAATTTTCAAGACTTTAAACTAAGAGGGAGTAAGGGGAGAGAAGACAGAGGAGAAAGAGGATGATTTTTGTTAAATTTTCTATACTTGTCTATATTCAGGGAAGCTACCTCAGTCTCATTTACCAAGGTTGTAGAAAAATGAAAACTATAAGAAAATACCAAAAATAAAATTAGTAGAAAATAGTGTCTAAGCAGGACACAGAGAAGTTAATAGTAATATGAAATTAAAAAGTGCAAAGGCATAGAATGACCAAAATCATTTCTGAGAAGGATTTACAAAGATAACTTGCCTGAGAAGGAAAATTTGACAGTTAAGTTTTATGTTAAATCTATAAAATTTTTTCCCAATTCTAATAATTGTTTCATGGCTTCCAATTGCACTTCAGTTCATCTAAATGACTCATTATCTCTGTAAATATAAATCTATACCAAATTATACTGATTTGTGTTAAAGAAGAACAATTCAATAACCGAAGGAAAGACCAAAGAGTTCCTTCAGGATACAGAATTCTGGCATAGCAACTACACAAAAATATATTACTATAACACAACATAACTGGTTAGCTGTGGGTACTGGACCAGAATCTATACTGTGGTGATTTGAAAGAGTATGTCCACAAGAGTCTCCTATGTTTGAATGCTTGATCATTGAATTGTTTAGGAAGGATTAGGAGGTGTAGCCTTGATGATGGAGAGGAACTGTGTTACTGAGACTGAGATGTGGGTTTTCAAAAGTCTCCCTGCTCTCTGTTTGCTGCCTGCAGATCAGGATGTAACATTCTCAGCTACTACTCAAATGCTAGGCATGCTTGCCACCATACATCCTAGCCTTGAGGATTACGGACAACCCTCCTGAAACTGGAAGCCAGCCCCCAATTAAATGTTAAGTGAGGGACAGAAACTGAAGGAGGGGCCGTCTCAAGACCACTCCACCTGAGTATCTATCCCATGTGCAATCACTAAAGGTAGATGCTGATGTGGAAGTCAGGAAGTGCATGCTGATAAGAGCCTGATATGGATATCTCCTCAGAAGTCTTCAAGAGTCTGACATACTCAGAGGCAGATGCTCACAACTAGCCATTGTACTGATCATGGGGTTTTCAATAGAGGAGTTAGAGTGAAGACTGAAGGAGAGCTGAAAGGATTTGCGGCACCATGAGGAGAGCAACAATACCAACCAACCACAGCTCCCAGGATCTAAACCATCAGCCTGGGAGCACTTAGGGAGGGATCCAGGACTTCAGTGGAGGGATCCATGGCTTCAGCTGTATATGTAAGAGTAGAGGGCCCTGCTGGGCATAGGTGGAAGAAGAGATCCTTGACCTCATGAAGGCTGGACGCCCCAGGGGGTGGGAATTTGAGGGTGGGGAGATGGGAGTGGGGGGGTAGGTAGGGGTTACATCCACAGAGAAGGAGGAGGAGGGATGAGGGGATAGGGGATTCCTGGGTGGGTGGGGGAGGGGGTAAGGGGACAACATATGAAATGTAAATAAAACATCCAATAAAAAAAATGGGGAAAAAAAGTTACAAAGATAAAACCACACTATGCAATAAGGCAACAGCCTACTATATGGGAAGAATAGGAGCTAGTATTAAGTGGGAACAAACTCGACTTAATAGAGACACCAATTCATGAGTCAAGAGGAAGATCTTTTAACTACATTAAAAGCTAGTGATCAAATTACTCAAGTCACTCACCTTAATTAAGGATCCTAACAGAAATTCAATTGATAAAATGCAATCTTCATAAAGATTGATTTACAAATGTCAAAAGATGTAAAATATGAACCCCATCAACTTTGATTAAACTACAGAATTGTTTCAAAGGCACGACAAAACTACTTTCCACTAGAGCTTAAATGTGAGAAAACAAGTCATTTGCATGCTCCAAAAATCATTCTAATTTTAATAA